ATAAGAGACAGGAGAGAGAGAGCCCGAGGACGAAGACCGATCAGCCTCATCCCGACGTGCTCGAAGTGCGGGACGGGTCGCGAGGGAGAGGGAGGCAGAGGGGGAGCTGCTTCGTCGTCGGCATCGTGGTGGGGAAGGAGGTCGGCGAGCGGACGGCCCAGCCATCTGGGCCACATGGCCGTCGTCTGGCTGAGGTGGCTCCGGGTCGAGCGTTGGATCGTTGCTGATCGGAAGATCAGCAACCGGCGCAATTTCTAGCTGGGGATCCTCGTCGGCATGCTCCTTGTCGTTGTCGTCACCGCTCCCTTGCTCATTGTCTTCTTCTTCTGCTTCCTCCTCGCTCTCCGTTTGCAGGAGCTCTTCTTCGTCTCCTTCTTGCTGCTGTGCCGGCTCCCCTTCGTCTTCGTTCAGACTCTCCTCCTCTTCCTTCGAACTTTCTTCCGCGAGCTCCTCGCGGATTATCTCCTCCAATTCGTCCATGTACGGCGGTCTGTAGAAAGCGGGATCCACGATGTCGCGCGGATCCAAATAATCCAGTCGTGAAGGCGGAATTCTCGATGGGAACCCCTCCACACAAGCTGACCACTGAAGATACGGCGACAGCGTGCGCGAGGTGACGTGGGGCACCAAGCGCGGGTCGACTTGGGAGACAATGTTGACGTCAAGATCGTCGGCCAGCTGCGCAATGGGGACCGTAAGCTCTTGGGTGAGAAGCCTCCGACAGCCTGGATGCACTGCCCCGAATAGAAAACCGAGAAGGTCCCCCTCTAATTCCTTCCGCCACGCCTGAATCAAAAGGAGCTCCAATTGCTCAGACCGCGGATAATTTCTCTCGTCCCTCGTCCACGCCACCCGTACTTCCGCCAAACACAGTGAGAGTTCGATAAAGTCTCTGCGACACGCGTCCCACTGAGAGGGATCGAGGAGGGGAACAACCAGAGGATTTATGCAGAAGGAGAGGCGGGGATGAACATCAGACTGCCAAAAGGTGGGGAAGGAAGAAGGAAGCTCGAAAGTAGAGATCGGGAAGGAGCTCATCGGGGATGGAAGGGGATGAGAGGGGGTTATTGCGTCGGCGGGTCACGCCGATCCAGCCGAAGGCCGTTGTATTCGATCGCTCGGATTGGTGTGATCACATCCCCTTGGTGCGCCAGGAGTTGGGTCCACTCGTTCTGAAGATTGTGCACCCACAGAATCAACGCCGCCTTGATTCTCGTGTGTCGGCAGGGGGGAATCACCGTGAGATCTCCACTGAAATTAACCACCAACGTTATCCGGCCGACGCCCGCAGATGCTCGCTGTCGCAACCTGACAGCTTCGGCCAATATGATCCCGTCAGCCCTCCCGTTGACGTGGATCTCTGCTGCCTCGTAGACGCCCTTCGAGCAGAAGAATTGCGCAAGCCGCTGACGGTCCGGACGAAGACGAGGATGATGCACCTGCCGCAATGTCAAATTCCCACGTGCTACCAGTGCTTCTTCACTTAGAGCTCTCTCCGCCATAAAGCTCATGGCGACGGCGAGGGTGACGACGTATCCGATAGAGATTGAGAAGGAGAAGGAGATGCAGAGGAGATAGAGTCGTCGTCGGGAGAGGTTGATGGAGAAGGAGACGGAACAGAGGGAAGAGGACGGAGATAGGACACGTGGCGTGTGATCGGGCGAGCTGATCGACTGCCGGAAACCTCGGGAGCGAGGCGCACGGTGTCCACGCCGTTGGGTCCGAGTTCAATCACTCGATACTGTTCGAAGAATCGTGGCGCTAGTTTACCCTGGCGCGCACATTTCCTTACCTGCACGATATCCCCTAACTTATACTGGGTCTTGGGACCCGCATTCCCGTTCCGGGCCTCGTAACTCCGGACCTGTCGGCCATGGGCCAATTCGGTGGACCGTTGTCGCTTTCGGGCCAGTCTAGGTAAGGACCGCTCCATAAATTCCAGGTGTCTTTTGGCTTTGTCCCGAGCGGTGGCCCTTGTGGGGCGTCGGTCGAGTCCCGATTCGTCTGGGAGGCTCGGTATCGACACACACGCGACACTATTGGACCGTAACTGGAAGGGGCTTAGGCCCGTCGATTCGTGGGGCATTCCGCGATGGACCACCAAGATGTGGTCGACAATATCAGGCCAGGGTCGGGGGTCACGTGCCGCAATATTCCACCGCAAGGCCGTCTTTATCACCCTATTCGCGTTTTCCACTAATCCGTTAGACTGGGACATGTGCGGGGCCGTGTGTCGTATGGAGACGCCGTGTATGACCAGGTTCCTCTCGACTTCTTCTCTAAATTCGACCCCATTGTCGGTCAGGATCTCTTCGGTGTCCTCGTGCATGCCTAGAAAATGGTTGACGTACCGCGCGATTTCCGCGGCTTGTCGTATCTTGCAGGGGTAGGCCTCGATCCACTTAGAAAAGTGGTCGATGAAAACCAGCAGAATTGAACAGTCGCAACTATTCGGTCCTGGGGGCACCACTATATCAGTAGTATCCATACTAACCCTCTGAAACGGCCGTTCAACCACAGTTGGGACTATCGACCTAGGCGGTTGGGTTGGGGCCTTGTCAGCAGCGCAGACCTGGCAGTGTTGGACGATGAATTTAACGTCGTCCCGGATATTGGACCAGTACCATTGATTTTTGTCAATCGCAGCTTCGGTCATACGCATGGCAAAATGCGCCGCCGTCTCCTCGTGGGCTGTTCGTACCCAGTCGTACCGCATAAACGGGTGCGAAACTACTAACCATGCTCCACTGCCGTCTGTTTTACACTTTTCTAACCGTCCGTCCACCCATCGGTAATCCCGTGCTCTTTCATTGGCCCTCCTCCGATCCTCCTTGGAGAAGTTTTCGAGGGAGTTCCCTACCATAGTGGCTATCAAGGCGACATCTATCCAGACTTCCGCTCTTCTGAATTTTCGAATTTTGTCGGGGCCTTCCGACGTGGCATCGAGGAATCGGGCTTCCGTCGGAATCTTGTCAGTGCGACATAAGGGACAGAACCAGGGTCTATCACTACTCCGATACTGTATGCACGCACCATGAGCACGTGCGACACATTTCTGACAGTCTACCCATTCAACATATCCCCTCCCTTTAGGACACATGTGGACGGAATAGACTCGAGAGATTGCCTAGCAGAAATAGCAAAATTTGTCAGGAAGGGAGGCGAAAGAAGAGGATGGGGAAGAAAGAGAGGGAATCTGGACATTACCTCTGTCACCCATTGCCCTTCACCGGCTTCCTGCCACGTGGAATAACCACAACTTCTCCGTACTTAGGACCGTTATTGATGTCCGGGTCCTTCTACGGTGTGATTTCTTCCGCCTTTGGTACTTTACCGGGTCGGTGCAAACGTGTCAGTCCGTCGGCGTTGCGGTGTCTCTCCGTTTTTCGATGAACAATGTCAAATTCATACTCTTGCAACCACACTGCCCATCGTCCGATCATGCCCGTGTAGTTGGTTAGCTTTTTCAGAGCCAACAGAGGTTCATGGTCGGTGACGAGCAGAAACTTTTGACCGTACAAATACGGATGGAAGTGTTGGATACCCCACACTACCGCATAGCATTCTCCTTGTGGCGCGGAATCGTTTCGTCGCTCGTCTGGCACCGTCCAGGAAGCGTACTCAATGATGTGCTCCTTCCCATCGTTTCCCTTCTGTGCCAGAATGCCCGAGATAGCCTCCGGCTGCCAGTCGGTGATGAGAATAAACTGCCGAGAGGGGTCCGGTCGAATCAGAATCGGGGCCGTGACGAGAGCATCCTTCAGGGCCCCGAAGGCCTGGTCGCACTCGTCATCCCAATGAAGGGGCTGTTCTTTTCGCAGCAGGTTTTTCAAAGGCCTTGCTATAGCCGTGAACCCCTTGATGAACCGCCGGTAATACGAGGCCAGGCCCAAGAAGGCTCGAACCTGTGCCAGTGAGGTCGGAACAGGGGCCTCTTTGACTGCCGCGACTTTTCGAGAGTCCGGCCGCAGGCCTCCTCGTGTCACCACATCCCCGAAGAATGAGATTTCCAGGAGGAAGAACTCGCTCTTTTCCAGCGCAATCTTGAAACCTGCGTCTCTCAACGCACCCAACGTCCATTCAATGTGCTGCGCGTGTCCGCGAAACGTGTCCGAGTACACCAGAATGTCATCCATGTACACGATGACGCAGAAGTTAATCATCCCTTGAGTCAGCCGTGTCTTATTGACGAAATTCTGAAAAGTCACGTTCATCGCCCTCTGAAACGTGGCAGGCGCATTGCAGATTCCCATCGGGCACCGAACCCACTGCCACGTGCCTTCAAACAAAACGAAGGCGGTCTTGGGCCGATCTTCTTCCTTCATCAAGATATGATGAAACCCATGCCGAATGTCGAACTTGCTGAAGTAGTTGGCACACCCGATCACATCAAGCAGATCATCAATCCGGGGAAGGGGATACACATCTTTAATCGTGATATCATTTAGCTTTCGATAATCGATGCATATGCGGACTGACCCGTTCTTTTTAGGAACCAATACAACTGGGAAGGACCAGGGACCGGTGGCAGGCTCAATCCATCCGTTTGCCTCAAATTCCCTGATTCGCTGCAAGGCCGTCTTGCGCTCTGTCAACGAGTATCAGTACGGTTTGCAGTGGATCGGGGAATGATTCCTGGTCTGAATCTCATGCTGAACGACCACAGATAACCCAAAATCGGCATCGGACACACTAATCGCCCCTTGATCTTCTATTAAAATGCCAGTGATCAGCCGATGGATCTCATCAGGTACATAATGAGGCACATGCAATTCATACATTTGATCCAAGATCCGAACGTTAACCTGCTTCGTGTGTATACGCCGAGTAGTGTCAGGCGGTGCGGATATAAAAGAGTGATCCGATCTCCAAGAAAACATAATGGCCACCATCTGTGCTTCCTCCTCCCTGATCGCTATATGACCTTCGGGGGTTATCCTGTCACAGATGTCTCACCAGGGCACGCTTTTGGGCGAGATTTTGATCCCGAGTTCCTCGGATCTTGCCTCGATGCGCTGAGGGGGGTCCAAAGAACCTGCTTCGGCTCCTAAACGCAACAACTGAACCTCTTTTGCGGGCTGAAGCAGGGATCGAGGTAAGCTAGTGAGATCACAAACGGAACGTTTGTCACTATACCGAAGAAGGAGGGGAGATACGCCTTCGTACAGGGTCCGAGGGGGTTCCAAGGAATCATCCAGCCTCGAAATTTGTACGAGGGGTTCTCCCATGATCATCATATGAGCATTCCGTGCGGTTAGATGCATGGTACGCGCAATAGTGCGAGGCGGCGAGTAGTGAATCCGCTGCCTTACTAACCGTGTAACGACTGGATCGTCATCGTCGTCGCTCCCCGCGTCGTTCGATGATTGGCCTCCGTCCACAGGTGCAATCCAGGAGACCATGCGGAGCGCTCCCCTTGTTTCCGGAGAAATTCGGGGTATTACCTTAACCGATGTTCGAAGAGTTAGTCTCATGGGTATTACATACGGCTTTCCCCCGGTATTCCGGAGAATGACGGATCGGCGTTCGAAGTCTAAATTAGCACGCAGCGCCACCAATGCAGGAAGCCCGAAAAGAACGTCATACGTATTCACATCCAGCACCACAACATCTCCTAAAGCATGCACTTTTCCCGATCGGAATGCGACATTCGCCATTCACCCTACTGTCTTGATCTTCTCCTCGTCAGCCGATACGAGCTGGTCCTTCTCGGTTAGCATAATCAAATCATTCTTCCTACCCGCTCTCTCGACTACTCGGAGTGATATCACTAGGACAGCCGCTCCCGAATCTATGATTGCACTATACGGCACTCCCCAGACTTCAATATCACATTCGGCTGACTTCCACGGAATCGGCTTGATCCGAAGAAAGTTGTCATCGTCCTGTATCAATCCGACTCGACGTCCGCCTTTTCCTCCGAAGTCGATGCCTTCGCCTTCTGATCTTTTGCGCGTGCAAGGGCGAATCGCTTCCGGTTCGCTTTGCAATGCTGCATCATACGTTCGTTCGCCTGTTCCGAAATGGAGAGTAGGTAGCCGATTGGGAGAGGGATTCAATGATCCAGTGCTCGGGTAACCTCGAGGACATCGATTTCCCCTGTAACAAAGGTAGGGTCTCCCGTCTCCATTTCGCTCGACGATGGCCTCCATACGGCGACATCTCTGGACTCGAGTTCCGGTCGAATCGTCCCAATCATTCCCAGCCCCGGGTATCCTAGTGATACATATTGCTCCAGTGGGATAAGCTCGGCTGCTTCCTCACTGGAAATCATCATTCCATTACTCCCCCCCTGATCATCCATCACGGCTCCTACACGTCCTGGGCCATTAGCTATGGGAGCTGCAGCTGTGGGCGCGACCTCGGTTCGAGGCTGCATGACACGATGGGGGCAATCCCGGGCCAAGTGTCCCGGTTGATGACACGTAAAACAGGCATTTGCCGCTGTCCCGGCTGGCCCCGCTGCAACTTGTGCAGCAGCCATGCCTCCCTGCATTGGTGCTCGCTTTGCAATGGGTCTCATATTCCGCATCATAGTTTCTAATCGGGCGTTGTGCTCTCGCTGTTCCTTCTTGCTTTCTTGGATTAGACTTACCAATGTTTTAGTTAGCTCCAAGATAGCAGTAGACTCATTCGTTCTTGCGGGTGACTCGATGGTGGGTGGCGGTGGAGGTGGCTGAGTTACGGTTGGGGACGCCATTACCGGGATCTGCCTGTTTACAGTCGCTCCACATGGTGCGGTCCTCGATGTCACCTGTTCTACATACGTGACGAGTCCGGCTACGAATCCCATGTTTTCGAATTTGTTTTGCAGGGCGGCCAGTTCCGCCCTTGCTTTCACAAGTTCGGACGAGTCTCCTTCTCTACCATAATCCTCATTTTCTAAGAAGCTAGCTGCGAACTTCCGCTCCATTTCTTCGGCAGCGTCCATAATCTGTTGCAGCGTGTGGTTAATGGGAGAGAAGTTTTTGCGTAGCTTCCTCCGAATCGTTCTGTTACGTAGTCCATCAATGAACAGGTCCCGGCCTACCTGCTCACCCCGCTCCATCTTTACAAATATTCGATGAAATCTGTTTCGATACTCGGTAATGGATTCGAGTGGTTTCTGGACTCGATCCTTGATCATATAGAGCGCTTGTTCGGGGTGAACATAATCGAAGTGGTTCATGAAATCCCGCTCGAATGTGGGAAGATCCACCCATACATAAGTGCTATACCAATGATGGGCGTCCCCCCCCATCCGCGCCGGGATGTTGATCTGAGCTTCATCGCTCGTATACCACTGAGCTCGGAGCGTGGCCAACCATCCTCCGGCGAGATGGTGTGCTAGGTCAAATAAATAAAGATCTGGTGGAGCTACCGGGGCTCGCGGAGGCGGGTTGGGCGGTTGATTGGGGATGACCGCCGCAGCGGCTGCTGCAGCAGCGGCCGCAGCCATGGCGCCTATTCGGCTTCGTGTATTTACAGGACTATGTCGGCGTGTATCACCAGCTGAAGGGCGCCTACGTGGAACCAGATCGCCTCGCCTTAGCCAGTATTGAGTCTACAGACCCTATCGCTTAGCCACGTGTCGGGCTTCGATACCAACCTCACGCCCGGCGCGCCTTCCTGATCGGAGTGGGATGTGGGCTTGGAAGTGCGAAAAGGGGTGTGCCAAGGATTTTTGGAAAGTGGGGGTGGAGTCCCAGGTCAGAACTGAGATCTCCAGTGGCAAGGTTCAGGGGCATAGATGCCATAGAGCAATGGGAAAATTTATGGGCGCGGGCTTGCACGCTGGTTGTGCAGGGCCGTCCGATCCTGACGCGATCACCAGTTCTGGGGAGCCTGTCGAGGCGGTCCTTGGAGCCCACGCCTTCGGGGCCCGCCATGTGGTGTGGGTTGGTGGGAACTATGCCGAGGTGCCGAGGCTTCGGGGGTTCGGGTATGGGCACGCCGCCTGCAGCTTCTGCACGGGGTGGAGGGCCAATAAGGTGCTATGGAATTCCACGGTACTACTGTAAGTTGATGATAGGGGAGGAGGAGGTGGTATGGTGGGAAATTAGTGGCGATAAGGACGAAGCCGGGGGTTATGAAATACTGCGTGTTGTACGTGTTTGGGTAGTCGGGTCCCCGCGGGTCGCTTCGTACGGCGAGATGGAATTCCCTAGCGCAGAATCTATCGTTTTCTGTGAGGCAGGGAAACACCGGGTTCCTCAAACTTCCCCGTAACCAGAGTTGCTCTTCTTCCCAGATTTCCCGGTACCCAAAATACGACTCGTAATCCTCGCGATTCCTCGGAATTCCAAGATACGTCGGAACTCTGCGAGCTCGTCACTCTTTCATCACTCACGCCTTGTGGGATAAGTTAATCGGGGAGATCACCGCTCGTAAGTGCGTAAGAGAGATGCGAACAAGTCGCACTTACGCGCGATGGGTAACCCGATCCCGATTGACATCGACTCCTACTTAAGCGAGGGGCTGGCTACGCGCGTTAGCCAAGACGCGATTGGCGAGTCCGAGTGGTATGGACACATGTAAGTCGCGCTCCGTCCGGATCGCACTTGCATGTGCCCATATGGTACGTCGGATGGTGCGCTCCCGACTCCCCGTAAGGTGCGACAAGCCAACACACTCTATTAATTACGCCAACATGCAATCCCCATTTTCATTCATCATGTACGAGGGTTCGCAGGAAACGATCAAAAACGAAAGGCGAGGGTGCGCGAACCATCCATACATCATTTGCAAAAGAGGATTCCGGAGAAGGAGAGAAAAAGGAGAAAACATCGATGAAGAACCAAATCGAACAACAGGACGAGTATATGGCCGCAAAGACAAGGGCGAATTGCCCATAATCG